GTTTTAGTTTGTGCATTTCCCCAGCTTATCCAATAGTTGAGCAGACATTACACAAGCAATCCTGTATTGAAGTAGGGAAGTAGTAGGAATTCCCATTCCCATTTTACAGATGATGAAACCCTTGATACAGTGAATAATAGCAGCTTGCACTAAATAGTGATTTGCCATTTGTCAAGCATTGTGCTAAACACTTGATTATGTGATCCAATTTAATCCTTATAACAAGCCTACGACCTTGTGCTATTATCTTCATTTTACCTATGATGGAAATAACACTCAGAGAGGAGGCATAACTTGCTCACATTTACAAATATGGAAAATTAGGGAGTAGAGATGGAAGCTTAGGGTTTTCAAAACTCTGGTTCCTGTTTTCCAGGTCAGTCTACTCTCCACAAAATTAGCAATCTTTTTCGTTTGTTTGTTTTTGCATCTACCTTCTCAGTGGCAAAATTCTATCTAAATAAAAGCTCAGAGCATCTCCAAATATAATAATAAGGTACAGTGTACCAGAATTTGCTATGCATTTTTCTTTCCACAGACCTTCCTTATTTCTCTCTTATAAACACCTTGAAAAATAGCCAGGGCAGGTGTGTGAATTTGGGTTTTACAGATGTGCAAATTGAAATGCAAAGCTCTTGCTTAGGCTAGTGACCACCCAACTAGGAGGGAGCGTTGGGAAGCCTCAGCAGAATTAGAGCCAGAGGTCCTTGCTTCTGATTTCAGGTCGGGGGCTACTTGGGGTCTCTTTTCAGACCTCATGAGCCTACACCTTCAGAAGCTGACTTGTCCCCTCTGATGTTCCTTGTGAGAAGTCGAGCAGACTTACTACAAATTAAATTTCTGGATGCTTGAACTGATGAACAGGAAATGAGGCTGCTAATGCTCAGAGGAATGAAATTGAGATGCATTTTTTTTAGAAGAATTTTGGGCCCAGTGGCCTCTTTCTGTCCTTCTCTTCCCTGTGTCCTTCCAGTCTCCATGGAAACCCCAAATCAATGCAGCTTATGTTGATTCATGTTTTTAACTGTTACTAGGAAGCTACAGAGTGGAAATTGCTTTTAAAAGATTTGTGGAAGGGCTTGAACGTGCTGACCAGAATTCAAATTTAATATCCAAATGACTGTTTTATTAAAAGCTTTTAATGTGGTATTATCTTAGGTGGTATGCTGATTAAACAAACACACAAAGGGGTATTCGGCAATAAACCTCTTCTTCCACTATCAAGGCTTTAAAAATATTATATTGCAGATATTAATTCCCTTTATCTTTGCTTTAATTACATTTTTGTGGTCTATGTGACAATGCCATTTGGTCCTCTTGCTCTTGATTAATTCTATCCTGCCCTAACTGGGCTGTTGAGAATGATAGTTTGCAAATTACTTAGGTACCTTGCACCTGCTCCTGAGTATCACTAGCATTAGGTGGACTTTAGTCTTGACCTGCAGACAGCAGAAATCTAACGTGTTTCTGCCTAAGGAATCCTTGATGATTTTTCAGAATTTTTTTTGTGAATTCAAAATTGAATTCAGCAGACATTTATTAAACACCTGCTCTTTATGTGAGGCAATGAGGATTGATAGCAAGTCTCAGAGTCTGCCTTTGTGGAGCACAGTCATTCGGGAGGATCAGAAAACATAAATCACAGGATAAACTACAGACTGTAATGCAGGATGTTAGAGAATCACAGCAATGTGGTAGTGTTGGATGTGGGGGCTCCTCCTGATTGAGGGAGTTGTGAAAAAGCTTTCGAGCTTTTAGCTTTTTAGCTTGGAGATATTGAGTGGAAGGAGGTAGGAGGCAGATCCAGGGTAGGAACATTCTTTCTGGGCAGAGGTATCTGACTGTGCATGTGCATGTATGTGGGCTGTGTGCCTTTGTGTGTGTGTGTGTGCAAATGTGTATGTTTGTTTGGATGTACTGTGTGTGTATATGTGCATGCATGTATGTGCATGTGCAATGGAATATAATACTGTATAGATAAATGGGACTGATTTATTAGAATGTCAGCAGGACAGGGAGCTGCAATATCCCATCCAAGGTGATCATACAATTGATCTGCTTTAGTATATCTGTCCTGTGAGCAACTCTTGTGGTATATATCTGAGGGTGTGTGGCAATTTGGGGATGAAATGTGGGCAGGAGATCAGTTGTTGAGGAGAACAGAGAAGGACATGCATTGTGCTGGATGTTGAATAACCTCTGACAAGGCATTACCGATGGGTGGGAGGGGAGGAAGTTAAGCACTATCAGAAATATAACAGCAAAGTTGAAAAATCAATTCAGTAATAGTAATGGAGAAAGAGAAGCCCAAAATACTTGTACTTATTTCCTTGGGGGCTAGGGTAGAATGATATCATAAACAAGCAGAGGGAACCCAGTAGGAATAGGCGACTGGGAGGGCACAGTGGTTGATGCCCATGCAACTAAGTCCACGGGATCTGAGAGGGTGGTGCTGTCCACTAGACCTCTGGAGAAGCAGTCTGAGCTCAAGAGTGGCAGGACCAAAGCACTGTTTCTGTAGAGAAGCAGTTACCAGTGACCAGAAGGGTAGGATTTCCCAGGAGGAGCAAATGTAGAATAGGAAATGTAGAACAAGAAGAGAAGAGGTACAGGGCAGCACCAGAAGTCAGAGCAAGGCTTGTCACTATTACTTCCTAGGAAGACCATGTGTGGGCATTGGAGGTGTGCTGTGCCCAGGTTCCAGCTGGTATTTCAGGAGCCGTCACCAGAAAAGTACCTGTAATCTTGGGGCAGGGCTCTCATCCTGAGGAAAGCAGAGTCCAGGTCGCTGAGGGTATTTGTCATGAGCACTGCAGCCCACTTGCCTTTTCTTTTCTTTCTTTTTTTTTTTTTTTAAAGATTTGTTTATTTATTTATACAAGCACTGGGTACAGTCAGAATTGTGGGAGGGTGAGAAAATTCACCAGAGCCAGAGTGGGGAGCAGAACAGGCAGAAGGACCAAAATACACTGCTGAGGGGAGCAGCGGGTGGCAGGAGAGGTCTGCGTGCCATGTGGGACCCTCACTCGGTGGCCCGGGGTGGAACTGGCACTGCAGAGGCTGCGGACAGCTTCGCAACCCAGTGCTCAACCGCTGCGCCACGGGGGGAGGCCCTCACTTGCCTTTTCTTACTTCTTCAGGATAGCCCACACTAGAATGCTTCCACTAGGTTCAACTTAATATCCTCTGGGGTTCTTTATGCACCTACCTCTATAAGAAGAAATGTCAAGTTGCTTCTAAAACTTGAGTGCTACTAGTTACTCTTTGGTTTTTAAGTAATGAAAGTTTGACTAGTCTTAATTTTTTTTTTATTATTCATGCTAGATGCATGTCCACACACCCTTGTCTTCCTACTCTTCATATTCTGTTCTTTCCTTTAAAAATTTATCAATGATTATATCTTTTTTTAACACTTTGGGTTCACCTATTGGCTTCCTGTGATGATATCATGTTGTTAAAGGCTAATCAAAGATTCTGAAGCCTGGTTAATACCGGTCAGCTTCCACAGAGATGGCCCTGGCTTATTTCCTCAGTGCCCTTAAATCCTAGATACCAAACTGGGGAGGGGTCCATGGTCCATGGTGGAGGATGACAGGCACTTTGGTGGTGGAGGTGCTGTGGCCACAGACATGTGTAGAAGTGTGATCTTATGTACCTGGTTACAGCGTTATAACCAATGCTACCTCAATAAAAAGTAATACAATAAAATAAAATCCTGGATGCCAGCCTGGGCAGCATGAGACTTGGAGGAGTCCTCTATTCCACCACCTTTGCCCTGGCATAGGGGTTCCAGGAGGACATGACCTTTATGTTAGAACAAAAGCAAAGCAGGTTGGAAATGCCAAGGTTGGTATCTGACACCAGCTGTGTACTTACAAAAGACTTCTCTGTTCTTCCCTCTGTGAAATGGGAATGATAAAGGTGTTGGCCTGTGAAGAGTGTGCAAAGAGTTAAATAAGATAACTGATAATTCGAGTGCAGTGTTTGTCACGGGGCCCTAAACATGAGCCAGGTGTGTGGAATCCAGGACTGGCCCGTCTTTAAGGGGTAAACATTCCGGGGATGTGCTCACCGATGGGCTTTGTTTCACCGGTTCTCCTGTGTACCTGTTTCTTAGAATGCAGTCGATCAGGAAAACGTCCAGAGGTAAAGGATTCCCTTGTGCTTGAATTCCAACCATGCCCCCACCTCCCCGTTACCAACAGGATTCCAGGCAGTGATTATGAGGAATGGAAAGCATTTTCTTCCACTTCATTTTATAGCTCTAAGTTCCCTTAGCAGAGGGGCACTGTGGACATTGACAGAGAGAGAGACAAAGAGTCACTGTGGAAGCAGCATCAGAATTTTTATTTCATTCTATAATCAGGCAATGTGTGGTTGCTGCAGAATCAATTCACTTCGAGGACACAGGATCTGAACCAATCAGCCTGCCAGGAAAGACCGGGACCCGGAGAAGTTCTGCTCTCAGAGTCTGAGCACACGCTCTGGTCCTTGTGTCACGTCTCTTTGAAAAAGCTACTTCTTTTCTAGCCTCAGTTTTCTCATCTGTAACACAGAAGTGATGATTAAACCCTCTTTAACTATGGCATGGGATTGTTGAGTGACAATACATGAAAATACTCTCTACGTTGGCATCTAGTGTCTTTAATACAAAGCAGTCACTTTCCAGACGGATCTCTGCTGTCTCTAGTGAACCCTGCCTTCTGGGTTTTGGAAATGACTTGCGGCGAAGCCCCATTTGGAGCCCGCTCCTGTGTGGAAACAGGAGACTCAGCCCTAGAGATCTAGAGCAGAATAAGGGAAGGGCAAGCTTTATTCCAGGGCAGAGGTCTGCAGACTTTGGCAAGCATCCGAATCACCTGGAAGATGGGGGTGGCCCCATCCTAGAGTTTCTAATGCTGCAGTCCTGGGGGTGGGGCCCGAAAATTTGCATTTCTAACACATTCCCAGGGGATGTTGATGCAGCTAGTCCAGGTACTCCACTCGGAGAATTCCTTTACTAGGGTAAGCAGGCAGAGAGAGTCCTCCTGGAACTGAACCAGGCAGCTTGAAGATTCATGTGGGTAAGGCGATTGGAAGAAAAATTCATGAGACAGAAAAATAGGGATAATGTGCAGATTGGGTAGAACAAAGGAAAAAGTCTCACTCGTAACAAATGCAAGTCGGGGGAAGTTGCTAGGTGATAGATGAGGGAGAGAGGTGAATTTCTACTGTAGGAAAAACCAGGTGAGAGGCAGGAGCAAAGTTGGAAATATGCATGTTTGAGGAGGCAGAGGAGGTGGAAATTTCTCATTAAGAAGTGAGGATCAGTGTGGTTGGTGCTGGGGGGATGGAAAGGTAGAAGGGCTGGGGGGGAAATTGCCTCAGTGGCTTTAGGGGGACTGCTGAGATGTGGCAGAGGGGGGTAATTTTGGGGCTGTGTGGTTTGACTTGGTAGTGCAGCACAATAGCAATTGGAGAAAGGGGGTGGAATTTAGATGTGTGACCTGCCCAGTAGCTTTCTTGCTCTCTGCATTTATCACATCACATCACACCCAGCAAGACAGCCCCCCTCCTCCTGGCTCATTAGGAGATTTGATTCAGCTTGGCTCCTGCTGTCAGCAGCTGTCTGGGGCAAGATCTTTATGCTCCCTGCTCTGGAGCTGCGACCAGCCTTCAGCCAGCAGTGGTGGAGCTCATTAGAAGAGGGCCCCCTGAACTCTTGATTTTCAGCTCACTGAGGGCTGGAAAGAGTTAATACCTGCGCCTTCACTGCCCCCTGCACAGCCTCAGGGTGCAAAGGGAGGCAGCTCTGGGCTGTGGGGACTTCTCCCTGAGCTGCAGCCAAAAGAGCTGGAAGCAGGTTAGTGAGGCTGGGGAGGAAGGTGCAGGAGGAGTTCCAGGCGAGCTCTGCTCAGGGGCACCTCCCGCATCCTGCCAATGAGGATGGGCGTGCAGACTGTGCCCAGGAGCTGAGCAGCCACCCGCTGGGTGTAGCTGCTTCAGTATTTACTGGATGTGGCAAGCAGAGAGAGGAGCTTTCAGCGGGGCTGCTTGCTGCCTGGCTCAAGTGGTGGGAGGTGTGTTGTGCATGCATGCATGCATGTGTATGTGTGTGCGCAAGCGTGTGCCTGTGAGTTATGCACACATGCCCTTCACCACCAAGGATTTGACTGCTAAGAGAAAGATCTTCTCTTTCCCCAGAGCTCCTTAACCCGCAGCCTCTCTGACCATTCAGTTGGCAAAGCCCTGCAGACCATGAAGACTGGTCAAAGACAGTGAGTATAGCTTTTGCTTTTCTCATTTCTCTCCAGGGTGCCTGTGGGGGCTGATTGCATTATTCATATTTAATTAACCTGCCTTCTATGCATATTGATTAATTTCTCCGCTGAAGCTCCCTGTTTCTCTTCTCCCCGTTATGAATCTTTGCTCTTTGCTTTTAACCTTTGCTTTTCCCTTGAGTATCCTTTTTCCATTTTGTCCCATCCTGCCTGCCCCAAAGTCACCTGTAACTTGATGTCCACCTATGAGGACACGTGTACTGTGGGTACAATCACAGCCTTGGCCTTCCTGGGCTCTGGGTTACCCCAAACTCTGTCCCCCAGTAGTCAAAGGCAAAATGGGCTGAAAGCCCCAATGTGCTGGGGTGAGTGAGAAAGTGAGGTGAGAGGCCCTGCTGATGCCTGTGTATTCAAACCTGAGATTGAGCCAAATGGAGGGACGGTGGTGGGTCTGAGGGTGATGGTGGGCAGTGATGGATTTGGAAGAGAGAGGTGGGTATTTAAATGTCTCAGGCAAGCCGTTGTGGGCTCGCTGTGAGAACAGGAGGAGCAGCAAGGCCCTGACAGGGGGCCCAGTGGCACCTGCCCCAAATGACCTTGCCTGCGTTTATGTAGGGAGTCGTCCCTGGTTCCGCTCAGCTGCAGGCTAATGAGGTTCCTGGCATGGACTTCCCTCTCCTGGGGCAACATCCCACAAGCAAGAGAAATGAGCCGTAGACGCTCCCAAATATTGATTTCCAGAGGCTCTAAGCAGCTGTAAAGGGTTTCCTGACTTTTGGGCAAGCAGGGAGAAGCATGGTTAGGACAAAGATTAAGAAAATATCCCCGTTCTCAGGGAATTAAAAAACTACTTTCCTGGGGTTGAGCCTTTACACAAAGTCAAAACGAAATTTTAAAAAAAAATTAACAAAGCAAACTTTATTTTATTCACGATGTAATGTCAGAGAAGTTATTTTTGAAAGTATTTATGACCTGTTCCAGGCAATATCAAAATAATTGAAATTGGGTTTCTGTTCAATGGATTCTATGTTTGGTATCATGAGTTCCCCAGGAACACTTTCTTCCTCTCAGTTCTCTTCTATGGGAACAAAAGGTTGGAAGCACCAAGAATGGGGTTCTCAGTCAGCCCCTAGCCTCAATGCCTTCCCTATGTCCTCCCTGCCTTGGGTCAGAAGTGGGCACGTCCCCTGGTAGAGGGAGGGAGGCCAGGCAGTGTCCGTATGGGCATATTTGTTTCCTCTCAGTCATACCCTCCCAAGTCTCTGCATTCCCACCTCCAGGATAATTTCTCCTCAAGGGGGGCATGACTCAGGACAGTCAGCCACCCAAATGATTTTGGAATCATTTTGGAACAAGTGAGACTCCCCTCCCCCACGCTTGGCTGGCTGGTCACTTGGGTCCTCTCAAGTAAGACAAAGAGAACAGTAATTTTTGGTTTGCCGGGCCCAGGCCTCCCTCTCATGGGATACATGTCCTACTTAACTGCTGATGGCCGGTGGTTGGGGAGCTAGAACTTCGGGCCATCAGCCAGTGATGGAAGGTCACTCAACAATTTGTTCTTGTCCATCGGGGTTTATTTCCATTGCTCACAGGAAGCTGATTTCTTGGGGGTGGGGTACGTGGGGGTAGGTATTCCACTGGGGGAAAGTCCTGTGAGAGTGTTTGTAGCACAGTCAGATAAGAGGGTGGCCCCCTCTTACAGCAAATTCTTTGATTTTAGGTGAGAGGACGTGAAAGGGTAAATCCCTGTGCCTCGCAGTCTAACCTCCCGCCCTGCCGTCCCTGCAAACCAGCCAGAGGGGTAACTGTAAGCGGGGGCCTATATGGCCGCTTTACTGATGCCACGCAGGTAACTGATGCTAACCTGTCTTCTTGCACTGCCCTGTCCTCGTCCTCCACCTTCCTACCTTCCCTGCTGTCTGCCCAGCCTTTGATGCCCAGAAGCAGTCCATTTGCATCTGTTCCCCCTGCCTCCTTGAGTGGGCTGTGGTGCATTTCCCAGGGTGCTTCTTGCAAAGTTGTGACCTTGCAAGCAGGACCTGCCTTAGTGCCATCCCCTCCTGCTGACGGGGTGACTTGTGAAGTGGTACTGTGCATGAGTTGCTGTTGAACCCTTGAGAGGTCTCATTGAGTTACTGGGACAGGGACAAAAGATGAGGGCAAGCTGTTTTGGTTTTTTTAAGTACCCATAACCCTTAACTCTTGCTTCTGCTCTCATGATTTAAGAACTAACTAGCCAGCTTATAACTCAGGTCTCAACTAGATCAGATGGAAAATTAAAACATTTTGCCCCAAAGAATTTTCGTGAAACAATTTTGCAAATGATTTGGGGTCATCACAGGTGTATTGGTTACAAGTAGCACCTTTACATGGGTCCTTGCTAAGCCTGTTAGGTGGCTGGTATGATGGGACATTTTTTGAAATCTCCCTAATTGCTCTTTGGGGACGTTGACCTGACTGTTCTATGATTGATGATACTGAAGTTCTGAGAGATGAGCTTCCTCACTGCCAGTCAGTTCTGGACTGGTTACAGCCTGAGTAGGACCTGTGCTTGAATTCAAGGGACGTGATGACTCAAGGGTCCTTCATTAGTTTCTTGCATGGCCTGATGTCGGAGCCCCCTGTGATCTGTGGGTGGACTTAGACACCCACTGTGGCAGGGGAAAGAAGGGCTGGGCCCAAAGTTTTGAATTGCCACAAGATTGATGGCCTCCCAGTGCACCCTGCTGAGATGAGAGGCGAGAGCAGAGAAATGCAGGCCCAGTTTTCTGCAGAAGAAGGGCTATTTCTGGGAACTTGGATGTTCCAGCCTTAAAAGGCCTCTCAGAGATGGGCTATGGAGTACAAATATTGTCCATTCCTGTCAAGTATAATACCATCTCCAGTGGATGTTAGTTGGATAAAATTTCTGTGAACAAAGACCAAAGTCAGAGATGAAAACCCATTTGAAAGGAAGAGATTAACTTGGGTGACCTCAGACATCTCTGTCCAGGTCCAAGAAATGTGAAAAAGAGGGAAGCAAAGCCAGGCTGCAATGACTTCCTTTTACTGTGGGGAATGACATCATCTAGGACTATTTCTGTGGCAAATTATTACCAATGTGCATGTGGCAGTCCCCTTTGATGTCACCCTGAAATCCTGAGGAGTTTATTCCAAACCCTTCCCACTTAACTTTGTCCTCCACATGAGGAGTTACTATGGTTAAACGTCAGGGGTCAGTAAATTCATTCTGCCAAGGGCCAGAGAGTAAATATTTCTGACTTTCTGGGCCATATGGTCTGTATTGGAACTTCCCAGTTCTCCTTGGTGCTTAAAAACAGCTTTAGATATTACGTGAACAAATGGGTGTTCTTGTGTTCCAATAAAACTTTATTTATACAAACAGGTAGCTTACAGGGCTGTCATTTGTCAATCTTTGGTTAAAGATTAAATCTTTGTTGATCTTTGATGAAAGGAGGTAATATTTGGAGCCAGAAAGGGGCATTAGCATAACTTTTCACCACAACCCATAAGTATTTAAGTGTCAAGGCCTTAGGAAAAGAACAAATAGGAAAATTTGAGCGTGCATGTTAAAATTTTAATCATGCAGTTTGTGGTGAGCCCAAATAGAAGTAAGAATAGAAGAGCTTAGTTCAGTAAGTAAAAGAGATGGCATTTGCTGGTTGTGCCCTTGCTCTTCTCCTCACCAGCAGGCATCATCCTTTCTGGTCTAGTCATTCAGGTAGGTCCCCAGGGCTGTGGATGAGCAGGCAGAACCTGAGTCAGAGTCAACCTACCAGGAAGCCCCCATTCTTTGTGCTCTGCGACTCTATGCTATGTAACCCAGGGGCATGCGAGCTTCCCTCTGCTCTCTGTGTGGTTACTACTTCTGGGGCTTTGCAATCAGGAGCTGCTGCTGTGGCTGCCACCTTATCCTCCAAGCAGGAGAACAAAATGTGGATTGTTATTTTGTCATCTCTGTGTTTCCTTTCCCTACAGAGAAGCCTAATTTAGAATGCTTCCCAGCTAATGACCTTCATTGACTTACCATCAACGTGTCAGCTTTAAAAAGCACTGAGCCTCTAGGGGTAGGGTACCTACGACTTATTCTGCTAGTCAGAAAGAGGGAGTGAGTAGCTCCCTGTCTGGGGTCGAACTCGTGCTGCAGTGGCTGCCGTGAGCTTCACAGCTTGTGTCTTAACCCCTCGCAACTCTGTCCTATACCCCAGTTCTTGTATGTATAAATAAATAAATCTTAAAAAAGAAAGAAAAAAAGAAAGAGGGAGTGAGTCTGTCCCCTGATCTTTTAGGAGTTTCTCCTCTTAATCAGGAAATCCTCAGGCGACTCCTTGGGTAGTGGGGGGAGGATGCTGGCTCCTGCAGCAGCAGCTCCAGGGACCCTTTCTAGAGCTGACAGCTGTTAGCGTGACAGTCCCCATCCTACCCTTTGCTTGTTGCAGGAACAAAGGGATGAGGACGCGACTGGGATGTCTCTCTCACAAGTCAGACTCATGTAGTGATTTCACGGCGATTCTTCCTGACAAACCCAACCGGGCTCTAAAGTGAGTAGTATGGACACATGACATTTCAGAGTCCCCCAGCCAGTGCCCACTAGGGGTTACCTACTCCCTTTTCCCTAGTGAGTTGTTGACTAGCAACAGCAAATCCCTGTCTCTTGACCAGCTTCCTTTCTATCTCTGGCTGTGAGTGAAAGTATGCTTATTTTCCTCTTCAGATGTATGACTTAATTCCTTTTACATTTAAGTAAACCATATTTTCTACCACTCTTAGAAAGCTTCCACGGTAAGTACTTATTGGTTCTATTTAATTGTCAGTCTATGTTCTCAATTTGGAAGCACTCTCAAAGCTACTTTAAAAATCTGCTGAAATGCAGGTAGGAGGGACTCAGGGCCCATACAGTGCAGGTACTGTGTTAAGTGGCATCCCAGATGTTACCTCATTGACCCCTCACACAGCTCTGTGGTGAGGACAGCATTATTTTCCCCATCTTAGAGGTGAAGGAATTACGGGACGAGCTTAATGTTTTCAACTCCGAGACCAGTTTCTTTCCATTGTTATCAAGACACATTAACACCACGTGCTCACTTGGCTCTGTCTTTTAGACTACAAGCCAATATCCTAAATTCACTGGCTTCCAATCTGGAGTTTTGTTGTTTTTTTTTTGCTCAGTTACTTAAGAATGTTCCTGTTTATGGAGTCAGGACTGCAGGATTCTGGGCGTAGTCTTCATTTGCCCCCTTTGCCCTGTTTTCCTAAGCCATCTCAGCAGTGGCTGCAGGAGAAGTCAATTCAGAAATGCTCAAGACAGATGTTTCTTCTTTCCCAGGAGACTATCCACAGAAGAAGCCACGAGGTGGGCAGACTCCTTTGATGTGCTTCTCTCCCATAAGTGTAAGTAGAATTCATGTTGCCATTTAGTGAAAAATGCACCAAGTCCACTTGACCCAGGTCTAGTGCTTTGGCCCCAGTGAGCCCCAGGCCCTGCCCTCATAGAGCTTCTGCCCAGAGGTGCATCATTGAACTGCAGTGGAAAGAGAGGACCCTCTCTTCAATTTTCTTGGTTGAAAGTACTGTCCTGAGGAGTTTCTGTGTTCTCAGCAGCTTTAGCAAGAGAGAATTTAGCTCAGGGAGTTGGCGTGATGGGCTCAGTAGGAAAGAGAAAGTGTAGGTTCCATCCCAGATCTGGTTTATAAAATTAAATGATCCCCCCACCACCAAGTCATGGAGGGTCTTGGGTTACTCACCTGTCAAATGAGTATTCTGTGCTTTTTGTCATTCACTGGAGTTGGCAGAGTTTTGAATTTTCTTATTGCTTTTTGTTTGGAGGTTTTACACCCCAGCTATATTGCACCCCTCAATTTCTTACTGGGTGCAAGTTTTATTGAGACACAACTTCTCTTATCTCTCTTCTTCCCTTTTCTTCCTTCTTTATTGAAAATACCTCTTGTTTCCCACGAAGACAGAAATACTTGTATATATTGAGGTGTGGGAAGGACACTTGGATGGTGACCAAACATTTCAGTTCTTGTGTTTTTTTACATCACAGGCAAGTCCAAATTCATTGGGTGCAATGGCACAAAATATGTGGAATGGGAGAGCAGAAATAATGGGGAGAAGAGGGCTTTTGAAAAGAAAGGAAGGTTTCACACAGATATTCTCTGTTCCATTTAACTTGTCTTGTGAATATTAGAAGTCCTAATTGATCTGGAAGCTGACGTGCTGATTTTAGTTTAGACCTATGTTTCCACTTAACCACTTATCAAATGCAAAAATGTATAGGCCTTGAGCATAAGGCTGCAAATTTTAATGCATTTATTAATGTTAAGCCACTAGAGACAGTGATGGTGGTAAAATTAGTGGATGGAAGTGTAGGGTATAAGACTGCTGGGTATAAGGGTATAAGATTACTTAACTGAGGAATGATTTTGTACCATGAAGCGAAGGCCTTGGCTGGGGGTCAGATCCCATGTGTCTTGATTTTCACTTGCTCTGCTACTTCGATAGTTGAGTGGCCTTGATGGACTCACTTAGTTTTCAGACGATGTCTTTAGAAGTGATTCTACTTTCCACTGAATGAGCAGTTCCCTCAGTTCTGACTGCCCCTGAGCCTAAAAAAACTAACAAATGTTTTTGAATAGATTTTAGAAATGAAATGCAAAATTTTAGAATAAGCACATATTGTAGCAAGTAATTTTGTGAGGCAAATAGTCATTTTAGTGTTGTATGGATCACACTTAGGAAGGAAGATAAAGCAGCATAGATCCAGCATGTACAACATATGGCGATACCCCCAACAGCAAGTGTATGTGCTGGTTTGCCAAGGTAATGGCATATGCACCATAATACTTAGGATTTGACAGCGAAGCTTGTGTTTTTAGATGAAGCTATTCTGACTTATTTTTCTGGAGTCACATTAAGCTAAATAAGTGTCACTATCAATTTATACCTTCTTCTCTGGCTGGATTTGATTCAAGGTCATCTTGAAGTGTGGTTTCTATTTCAGCCTTATGGCTGACTCACTTAATTCAAGTCCCTAAGGTTATTTCCTCATTCTAAAATGGGGATAGAAACACCTGTGTGCTGTCACCTGGGTGCTTAATAAGGGGATACCTTTAGATGGTTTTGGGTTCTGTATTCAAAGGTATTTTGTAAGAATATGCTGGGTTTTTTTTAATGGATGCTTTTGGATTATCAAATGCAAAAATTCATATGCCTTGAGCATAAGGCTGTAAATTTTATTGCCAATTATTAATGTTAAGCCACTAGAGACGGTGGTGGTGGCAATATTAGTGGTTTAAAATTACTTTTAAACCTGGAGGTAGTTGCTTCTGCTTCTGCGGGGAATGCTTGGGGTTTCCAGGAATGCAGGAACACTTTGTTGAGCTGGGGGTTCTACTAAGAGGTTACAAGCTGACACCAGATTGCTGGCTTGTAAAACCATTCCAGAAACAGACTTTTTGAACTTTGAAGTGCTGTGATCCTTCTTGGCGTCTGATGTTCTGTTTTTATTTCTGTTTAGCACCGAAATATGTCTGTTAGTACAGAAATGAAAAGCCAATGAAGTGGATGTCTGTGAGAAAGGGGTCTTTATATAGGGATTACTGGCAGAATTTCAAGCTTTTAGAACTTGAACTCTTACTCTCCATTAAGGCTTTGGAGGAGTAGAGCCCCGGTTACCTTGAAGGGTGTTGACAACTTTCTCAAAGTCTAATTAATTTGGGTTAGGATCATGACTCAATTAGGACTGATGAAGCGTTTCCAAAGGGATTGCGCATGTGCTGGTCCCTTAGGAGGAGCAGCAGTTGATCAGAGGTGTGCAATTAAGACAACAAAAATGTCCTAAAAAGCAGAGAGGAGAATTGCTGAATGACTGGACTCCAGAAGAATGCATGTGTATCTGGAACCTACTCCCTGGAAACGCTCCTCACCCAGGCAGCTACCCTCCCTAAGTTTTCTAATTTAGAAAATTCAAGTCATTATTTTCATTCCCATTCTCAGTCTACAGAGCATCATTCCCCTGCCTGTCCTGCCTAGGTGTTAGGACACTCACTTATTTTAAAGAGGTGAACTGAGTGCTCGTTATGTACACAATCTAAGCTAAGCAGCTAATTGGGGAGTTTGTGGGGGTGGGAGACAAAGATGTCCGGGACAGCCCCTTACCAGAGGACAATGTGGCCTGAGAAGAGGGACATGCATACAAATAACACCAGAGAAGGGGCAGTGTGCTGACTCCGGGACTTCAAGTTTCACAATAGAATCCTGCCCTTTGGTGTCCCTCTTAAATTTCATCTCGCCAATATTAGAAGTCCTCATTCATTTGGGGTGCAGAAGAGCTGCTTTCAGTTTAGAGCTCTGTTTTCACTCAATCAGCAAAGAGGCTTCTATGCAATTGAGTAGAGAACAAGGACTGTACTGGGGGACCTGGAATTCCACCGGACTCAGCTACTTCATAGCCCAGTAGCCTTGACAGAATCCTTCAGTCTCTTGGAAAAACTGTTTCCTCTGCTCAGCTGTGAAGGATGTGGAGTAGGGCGTCTCAGATGCTGGATCCAGTTCTGCCCCCTAGTTCCAGGGTGCTGTCTGTAGCACCCACCCACTGAGGCTTGGCAACAGCCAATCACCTAGGGCAGGTAGACTGAGTCAGTGCTGCCTGCAGCATTATGTAAACCTTCTCCAAGGCTGAGATGGTTCCAGCCAGAAGATGAGGGTTCAGGTGCCTGGGTGACAGCCTCTTCTCTCCCCAGCAGGTCCCCGGTGCAGCAAGCACCTCATAGGCTTAAATTTAAAACACAATAAAAGCAGCTTGGCTATTTTTTTAACTTTGGAATAAAAGGAAATCTGGAAAGCAAATACTGGAGCCATTTTACTCTTAATCACGTTTGCTGCAAGTGCAGTACAAAGCTGAAGAAGTACCCTTTGAGGTTTGGGAGATAACCACTTGCTAAATGCTTTTTTTTTTTAACTAACAAATGAAAAATGAAACTGCTGATGGCTTCATTAGATCAGGAAGAATTTCTACTGTGCGTTAATTTGGCATCTCTTTCTTGTTCTTCTGGTGACAATTAGATTTGGTGTCTGTGAGCTGAGCATGTAGTCTGCCCCCAAGGTGTACGTGTGTGTCCATCCAGAGATCGTTTTGCCTCCAAGCTCATACCCAGCAGAGTGAAGCCGCTCAGTTTGTGGGGGATTTTTTTCCTGTCAGATTGCTGGAGGCCAGGGTGTGTCTTCTGCTTTGATTTTCATGAGGTTCTGGTATATTCTTGTTATTTGTCCAGCTTTTAATGGGACACTCAGTTCCTAACTCTGAATCCATTCTCCTTTCTCCCACTTCTCTCTCTCCTCCCTTCCTCCCTCCTTTGCTGTGTTGACATAAAAGTTGGATTTATTCCAGTTTTAAGTTGAAGGTATAGACAGAGTTCTTTCCTCCTTCCTCTTGCTCTTGTCAGCCTGACCCCTGTCAAACCTGGATTTCTGAGTACTTAATCCTCCAGATCCCTTTAAGCCTTGACCTTGTATTGTTATTTTATTTATTTTTATTTTTATTTTTTTTTAAATAGTTTTTTTTTTTTTTTTTTATAGAGGCATGTTTTCTTTCTTTCTTTATTTGTTTGTTTGTTTGTTTATACATGCACTGGGTACAGTCAGAAGCGCGGGAGGGTGAGAGAATTCACCAGAGCCAGAGCAGGGAGCAGAGCAGGCAGAAGGATCGAAGCACACTGCTGAGGGGAGCAGCGGGCGGCAGGAGAGGTCTGCGCGCCATGCGGGACCCTCCTCCGGTGGCCGGGAAGCAGCCGGGGATCGAACAGGCGCCGCAGAGGCCGCGGGCAGCTTCGCAACCCAGCGCTCAACCGCTGCGCCACCGGGGAGGCCCTTGTATTGTTATTTTATAAGAAGCAGAGAGGGGCTATGCTGTTTTGTCCCCTCCCTCCCCCTAGGCCCTGGGAAGGCCAGGTTAGAAGAATAGAACTACAAAAACTCTTTTGCATTTGCTATATTTGTATCCATCTTGAAAAAAAGGAGACTGGGCCTCCCTGGTGGCACAGCAGTTGAGTTCTGGGTTGCGAAGCTGCCCGCAGTCTCTGCAGTGTGGGTTGGATCCCCGGCCGGCCGCCAGGCGAGGGTCCCACATGGCGCTCAGACCTCTCCTGCCGCCTGCTGCTCCTCTCAGCAGTGTACTTCATCAGTCTGCCTATTCTGTTCTCTGCTCTGGCTCTGGTGAATTCTCTCACCCTCCTGCGCTCCTGACTGTACCCAGTGCTTGTATAAATAAATAAGTAAATAAATCTTTTTTTAAAAAAAAGAAAAAAAGGAGACCAATAAAGAAACTTAGTTTTATTTATTTATTTTTTTATATAGAGGCATGTTTTCTTTCTTTCTTTGTTTTTGTTTAT